GGAAGGAAAGAGAAGAGAAAATATAAAAGAGAGAACGAGAGAACGAAAGAACGAAAGAACAAATCCAGAAACTTGGTTTGCAGCCAAACAAAATAAATAAGACATATACTCATAATTACACCGAAAACATTACTGCGGTGTGTGTGTGTGTGTGTTCCGTACCGTCAGCTGGTTGCTAACAGCAGGTTTTCAGTGCAGCAGGTGTCAGCTGGACAGCCACAGGCGACAGATGTACCTATTGTGTGTGTGTGTGTGTGTGTGTGTGTGTGTGTGTGTGTGTGTGTGTGTGTGTGTGTGTGTGTGCACCCTTCTGTGTCTTTGTGTAGAACAATCTGGGAGTGAAGACATTTCACTAAAGTGAGAACATTTCTTTAAAGTGACGAGTTTGTGCAGTCCTCTTTCATTTAAAAGACTGTCCTGAGATCAAAGTGAAGATTACTGCTGGAGCCTGAGTTAAGATGTCCTTATGGTAGAGCTTTGGGAATACATGATTTCAAAAATGTTTTTCATTTTCAGGTTTTCCATCCTGTTAATAAAGAGGAATGTCAGGAATCAGAGTGTAATTTTGTTCTTCTGTGTATTGAGTATTTATTGCTGCTTCATATAATTCACTGTCTCTTTAAGAACACTTTGAAAAGGAAATCTTGGCTTGTCATATCATAAACATGATGAACTTACTGAGAATTATCATCTGAATCTCGTCTGTTTTTCAGCTTTTTGAACTTTTAGTGAGTTTATGTTGCACTGATTACCTGTTGTACTGTAAGTTTATGTTGCACTGATTACCTGCTGGCAGGTAATCAGTGCAGGGATGGAAATAAATACAATACAAGACTCTGAATATAATAAAGAAAACAAAATATTTCACAGGTAATCATTATTATTTTTATTTTTTTATCATTATAATCATTTTTGTTCAGCATTTCTCATTTGCCTCCAAAATGTTGGCTTTTGAATAAGTTTATTAAAATTGCCTAAAATAATATTTATATAATATTTATATAAATATTTAATAATATTACAATATATTATAACAGTGCTTTGCCTATATTTACATTGGTTATAACAACATTTTACTTATCAACTGTATCTTATCAACTGCATCTTAATTTGGTGTTTAATATATTATTTTCTATACATTCACATTTAATTCTTTCAGTTCCTTTAATATGTAACTGGGTTTAAATGGACATTTGTTGATAAATCAGTTTTTGTCTCACTCAGAAATGGAGGTGGTGAAATTAAATTTTAAATTTTAAACAATGAAAAAGTCCTGAAGAAGACAGAATTTAAAATGAGATGCATCGCTTCGCAGCTGCTCCAATACATTTTGTCTGTGTGTGTTTGTGTGTGCGAGAGAGGGAGAAAGTCATGGTCATTCAACGTGCCTTGTGGCCTTTCAGACGAAGGTCAAAGGTCACCATCTGGAATGTGGAGCACACCCACCCCAAATTATTCCTCCACTCTTCCCAATTCTCTTCACTGTGATGACAATGTCTTTGTCCCTGTGTGTGTTCTTCTGTGTTAGGATGAGTCGGTGTGTGCCAGGACTTTCTGCGGTGCAGGTAGAGAGTGTGTATCGACTGACCGAGGAGAACCAGTCTGTCGCTGTTTACAGGTAAAGGTACTGATAACTAGCAAACATGTGTACTTGTAAATGTGTACGTCTGTATTAGTTTAGGGAAAGACTGCAGGTAATATTTCTGCAGCTACCATTTTTTGGTAATCTTCTATTGACGAGCCTCTTTTATTTCCTTTGCAGCAGTGTGACATGTCAGAGCACTGGGTGTGTGGCAGCAACGGAAAATCCTACAGGAATCACTGTGAACTGCACAGAGACGCCTGCATCACCCAGACCAAGATACACGTGGAGCACAGAGGACACTGTCTGGGTCAGTTTCCACAAACACAAACTCTTTAAGCTTTGAGTGAAGCTTGTGCAGTCATGAAGGATTTGTGTGTGTTTCTATTTGCAGAGAAACCAACAAAGGCCGATGCGAGCCCCAGTAAGTCACGAAATATTTCACATTTTTACAGAATTCAGCAAATTTGAGTGGCTGTCTAAAGCCGGTCTCTTTTTCATGCTTCACGCTTGCAGTCGTGTGTTTCCTATCTGATCGTGACTGGATGAGAGAGAGAGTGATCCAGTGGATTCAGAAAGAAGCTGAAGATCTGGCCTCAAACACATCAGCCGGTGACATCCTTCAGACATATTTTCAGGTGTGAATACTTCATGCACTGTATAATAATTACAAATGTATCTGTTAGTCACTTGTAGGAAGAAATGATACATTTTAGCTTATTATCTTGCATAGCTTCAGCCTTAAGTAATATATGAGAATATCTGTGAATAACTAAACAAGGTAAAAGATTTTGATGGTGTTTTTGTGTCACAGGCGTATGATGATGGGGATTCACAGCTTGATTCAAATGAATTTCTGCGATTCCTGAAGCACAATGAGACGGCACTCAACATCACATACTCAGACACTCTGCAGACTAACCTGCTGCTGAGGTATTCGTTTTTTCATCGCTGAGAGTTTGTTCTTCTTTTTTTTTTTGTGTCCCATTTGGATCTTTAGCCATCAGAATTGTTGTCTTAAGGCCAAGAAAGATGCCAAGCGGATTTATTTTACCAAGTGGATCATCATGGCCTTGCCATATTGGTCCATTTGATTGACCTTTATTATAATTATGAATTTATTTTATTTTCAGTTGCTACAAACGGGACAGACATGACTGGGGGATAGGACAGGGGGAGAGAATGAAAGAAAGAGAGGGAGAGAGAGGGAAAGAGAGGGAGAGAGAGTAGAGTTTGTTCTTCTAATTGTTTCGCGTTTTGTTTTGTTGTTTTGTTTGTATATTGCAGCACACATTTTGCACATCATTTTAGAAATTAAATGGCTGTTAAAGCTCCATATCCAGACTTCTCCAGTCATTTGTCTCTCACTTCTTTCTTTTTCTTAGATCTCTGTGTGTCGATGCTTTGATAGAGCTGTCGGATGAAAATGCTGACTGGAAGCTGAGTTTGACTGAGTTTATCAACTGTCTTACGCCCACCTACCACCCAACTGAGAGAAGTAAACATGCATACACACAAGCAGCAAAATAAGAGTATGAAACTGAACAAACACTTTTTGTGTTTGTGTGATTGACATTTTTCTAAGATTTCTATTTGCTTTTCTCCATTGTATTCAGCTTTGGATTTATCCTAACACTGTTTATCATTTGAAGACTATTATTTACTGGACTTTACAATCAAGAACAAAGAGTTTACTACTTGGGGATGTATGTATAAACAAACAAAAAAGGAACATATAATTACACAAACACATACTTAGTGGCAAAGTATGTTTAACTCAATGTATGATCTACATCAGGAGTGTCGAACACAAGACTCACGGGCTAGAATCAGCCAAGCAAAGTTTTGGATAATGTGAAGAAGAGCACATATTTTGGACTATTTTAATGTATTTTCACACATTTTACAGCATCTGTTCCTTTTACAAGAATTTTTATTAAAAACTGAAAACTGAAACTTTTTATATTTTTAAGGACAAGAAAGTTAGCTGTTCTTGTGTTTATTACATTGTGTTTTATGTGTGTAGAGTGTGCTCTGGAAGACGAGGTCTTTGAGGATGGAGCTGAAACTCAGATGGAGTGCAACAAGTGTGTGTGCGCCTGTGGAAACTGGGTGTGCACCGCTCTGACCTGCAATGGTGCGAGTTCGCTTAAAAATAGTAGTCGTATTGTATGACTGCTGCATTTGTTCTGTTTCTGCCCGCTGCTGTGTTTATCTTTGCAACATGTGTTTCAGGAGAGCATCAGGTTGATGAAGATACTGATGAAGGAGGAGAAGATGAAGAAATGACCGAAGAAGAGTGGAGCAGGAGGGTGGCTGAACTCAATGCTTTACAGGTCGACAGTCTCTCCTGAAACAATATTATTAACCTTTAAATTTTTATTCACAGAGACGTTTAATCTCAACATAAAAGTTACTCAAATTTAGACCAGAGTGGCAAAAATACATTTATTTCTTCTGAATAAATAAATGCATTAAACTGCAGAGTAAGGGAGTTTAACAGAAAGGCACAACCAGAAAGAGTTCCACTTCCAGGTTTTCAATAATTGTTGATTGAATATTTTTTATTAATTAAAACTATTAACTTAAATAAGTCATTTAAATGTACAACTACAAAATTCTTCTGTAGCAATGTGATGCACACATGATTGGTATAAGTTTAAACACTACCTACAGGTCAATGAACGTCTCTTTTACCTGTTTCAGGCATCTGTCACCATGGAGAACTGAGGTCGCAACAGCCAGTTATCAGCTGAGTGGCCTTCCGCTCCAAACATGAGGAACAGGTTTAGTTTAAATAGCTGTTGTTATTATTCTTATAAATGATTCAACACATTTTATTTATGTGAACTGTTAAATCACTTCTAAACATTATTCTACCTCTTATTTTGCTTCCTGAATTTAATGCGCTGAAGTTGGTTGCTAATTCACAACCAGTTTTTAAAAAATGTTTTTAATTTGTTATTGACTGCTTTATACTTTTAAAGAATGGAATTATATTTTCTGGCTTTTGAAGAACACATGAGCACGTTTTTGTTTTTTTCAATTTTTGATTGATAACTCTGTCTAAACTTTGATTTCCCTCTGTATTAATGAACAAGTATTTATGACATCTAATTTCTTATGATCAGTGAAACAAACAAACAGCCCCCAATGCTGTTTGTTTTCTTGAGGTTTGTAATGAGATACTACTTTAACTGTTTTGATAGTGAAAGCTATTTTTGTATCATTTTTTATCTAATAAAAATGAGCGTGAGAAGCAACTATCGAATTCTTTTTTTTATTATTCATTGTTCAACACAATATATACAAATGTTGTTTTAATAAATAACAGTTTACAAAATATCAAGAACGTAGGTTTAAGGATTTATTCTGAGAAAAAAAGAAAGAAAAAAGATAGAAAAACATGGGTTAAATGCTTACATTATGCTAAAATAATAAATCCAATCATCAATAAGGTCTCCAAACAGGCTCCTCCCCTCTCATGGAAAGACATGCCCCTTCAATGTAATTGGTCAGTGCTGTGACAACATTGCGGTCCTCCCCTGTGGTTTGGAATGGTTGGTTGGGCCCGTAGTGGAAGCTGCCGGCCTGGAATGGGCCACTGTGGCTGAGCGGAGCGGGGGGAGGAGGAGGAGAAGACAGATAGGAACTGTATGGAGGAGGTTGGGTAGAGTAAGGGAGAGCAGGCAGGTGGTGCATTCTGGGAGTAGGAGCGAATGAAGATGCCAAAGAGGTCACTGGGCCCAGAAAGGACTCATTCATCCACAGAGAGGTGGAAGGAAAGGATCTGCATTCTGAAGCGAGACAAGAAGCATCAACATCAGTGTTTCTCCAGAACTCGTTGTCTTCTTTTGTTGTTTGCTCAGCTGTCATGTGACATGAGCATGACCACGCCCCACTACTGTTTCATAAGAGAAAGTTTTCTTTCTAAAAACTAAAATTACAAATGAACAACATAGTTTTTAATTTTCAGTGGCCTTGCTGTGTCATTCTTGCTGTGACATTTTATGTCTTACCTGATGAAGCTGTGCTGCTACTGATGCTGCTGGTGGGCCTAAAAACTCCAGCCTTCATCTCCTTCTGCCTCTGACCTGAGATCAGAAGAAATAATGTTAAAACCTGCCCGGATCACCTCAGAATTGATCCAATCATACTGTTTTCACTCGTATTTACTAACGTCTGGGCAGCCGTGGTCCGTCCACGGTAATCTTGATGGCCCTGTGTAGGGTGGCAATCTGAGGAGGTGATGTCAGCACGTTTATCGTCAAGGTGAAGCTCTTACCTTTAAAACGATAATAAAACATATGTACACATGAAACTAGTTGAGTATACTTTATATACATTTGCCTACTTTGTTTTTATTTACTTAACTGAATCAAATTTTTTGTCTTATTCACTGTTTTGCTTTGACTGCTCAAAACTTTTCACTTGTTAATGTACTTTATCCAGCGTTATTTCTATTATATTTAAATTTATTTTTAATACTCTTAATTGTATTTAGTGTGTTCTTTATTTCTTTTAAATCTTATGGCTTTTTAATTTATTTAAATGTGCTCATGATTACACATGATTTGCTTTCTTTTACTCAGTTTTGCTCTGATGTTATTGATTAAGAAACTAATTAATTAACTAGAGTTAATTAATTCTGGCTCCATAGCTTGATTATTGATCTAACTTTACAGGTATTCAAATATTTAAAAGAAACATATAACAACAACTAAATGTTTTAACTGTGTGATTGCAGGGCACTGCAATTGCAAATAGTGTAAGCAGTGTAGACAGAGGTGGTAAAGATGGCAGGCTGCAGTCTTTCCTCTTGTTTATTGACAAACAAGTATGAATAACTTGTAACAGTGCTGCATGTATCTGTTTGTATACCTCTGCCGCTGCGGCCGATGAAGCGGAGGTCGTTGAAGTGGGCACAGCCTTGCTTCATGGTGGCTGTGGCATTGCGTAGCTCGGCGCTAACATTTTCATCATTGCCAGCCATCACTGTCACAACCACGCCATCAGGCACATCGTTCCCCAGGGCAACAACCTGAGAAATGAAAAAACATTGTAACAGGTCTTTTATCTTTGTGAACAGAGGATTTTTACTCTTTCAGTATGAATAAACTGTATTTTGGTTTAAAAATACCACCAGTGTATATGTAGATTACTCACAGTAAAGGCTCTTGGTAGTGTCTTATTACACCTCCAGTGCTGAGGCAGGCTGCTGCAGAGGAAATTTGGGCTGTCGGTCGGGACCAGTCCTCTGGGTGGAGCTGTACTGCACTGGTGGAGACACCTCAGCTCCTGTTCATCCAGTTGACGAGTGCTGGCTGATGGTGGCAGGCGGCACTTCACCACAGGATCTTAATGATAGGAATAAAGAAGTCCATTTTTACCCCATTTTGTCTTTCATTTTTTGTTCTTTTCTCTGAGATTACATGCATTTTAGACTTGAATATATTTTTATTTCCTGAAGTCAGTCTTAGATTTAGAGTGTATTAAGAGTCATATTAGATGGCAATTTAAATAAAGGGTTAGCTATTGTAGCTACTGCCTCAATCTAAAGCACTCCAACACCAGTTATATTTGTATACATAAATGTGTATTGTAAAATCATTACTAATTATATACATTTATTTACTTTTTAATTTTGGACCGTTTGGTCCTCCATACAAGTGAGATTGCCGCAGGAGAGCGCTCAAAGATATACAGCATATTTTGCTAAAGCTGTGTCGCTATGGTGGATATGTTAAAATTCTGAGTACTGATTAGAGTATAAACACTTCCCCTTTAAGCTGTGTATCTTCTTCAACTGTAATCTCAGCTGCTAACCTTGTATTTAACAGCTCATAGCTGGAGTGTAGCGCCTTTCGACCAGGACGTGTAGAAAACTACAACTACCACACCCTCGCGCTCCCTTGCGTCATCAAATCGCGCCGAAAACAGAAGAAAACCAGAACATTAACAGTAATAGCGTTTCTCTGACAGACTCTGGTGAGAGTTTTTACTTGTTTTATGCTTTTCTATGTGTCTTTGGTTCTCCTCTTCGCCTCCCCTCCTCTTTCCCTCCTTTGTTTCTTTTCTGCATTGTGTTTCAGCCGCCGCAGTGTTTGAATATGAGGGAACTGCGCTGTATTATTATTCATATTTTACTGCCGGAGGGGAAGTTACTGCGGTCACACCACCTGTCCAACTGTAGGAGTGTGTATGTGTGTTTTTATATTTATGTATGTGTGTGAACGTGTGTTAGGACGTTGTGTTTATTCTCCTGAGCTCTGTTCTGCTATTTTGTTGTTTTAGGCTCTTGGCTCGGCTTCTGTTGTGCTCTGATTTGTTTAGATGAAGTGATCCCAAAATACTAAAACCACATGAAAGTGAACTACAAGTGCAGCATTGTGATTTATTTCATTTGAAACACACACACACACACACACACACACACACACACACACACACACACACTGTATAAAGAAGACACACATACACATCTGTCAAAGTAGAGACTAAGTGCAACAAAGCCGTAACATGAACCAGCAGGTTCCTTCACATAGATAAAAACATGATGCAGGAGGATCAATCTCAGATGCAGCAACGATCAGGATAAAAAAAGAAGCTAAAAAAGCTGCAGTATTTCTAATTGGAGCTGCTTTAGCTGTTCTATACTGAGGGTACCTGAGTTTCTGTCTCTATTCAGACAGTGAAAAGGACGGCACATAACATCCACATGTGTGAATGAAGTTATGGTCGTTGCCACTAAACTTGAAGATGAAACTTTTCAGAAGTTTCAAGCAGATGAGATGAATGTTACTTTGTTCAGCTTGGGACTTTATTGGCATTAACTTGGCCGGCATTAACAGACAGAGTGTTTGGAGCTGCATGAATGTTAACATGCCTGTGGATACACCAGAACACTAGCTTACAGAATGACTTTTCAGTCTGCAGTAATGACCCAAAGCAGGCTTTCAGAATTAACCGAGATTCCTTATTTCATTCCTTATTAAGGAGGGGGGAAAAGAAGAAAACTATAACACGCTCTGATTTTAGTAGAATATTCAACACTGCTATCAGAAATCATTCAGGAGGCTGAGAGGCGAAACTGCTTTTAAATCCTAAAGAGGTCCAGCTGCCTTCTACGATGACATTGATGACTGAGAACCTATACAGACATTTATATTGGGGGTGTTCTCTTCTTGTACAGTCAATAGATGATATAAGAAGATATAGTATATTTTGACTATATATAGTCAAAGTATACCTTATAGTCAATAAAGTATATTTAAAGAGAGAACAAAAGTTAAAATATCGTTAGATCTTTTCTTCACTCAAAAGATTGTAAATTAATTTTGCTCTCTAGTTTAATGTGGTTCTGTCTTGGTTTTGTCATCAGGTGGGTGTGGTTATGAGCAGTCCCATGGCTGGCTCCGCCCCCTCCAGCTCTAAAGACCGTCCAGCTTCCAGGATCAATTTTATCCCAGAGCTACAGAGCATGATGTAAGACACACACACACACACGCACACACACACACACACACGCAAACAAACAAAGAGAAGGAGTCTCACCCCAGTACAGCATTGGGCTGGGGCTGCTGAACAGACTGTTTGAAGCCATGGAAACCTGTTTTTTAAAGGAGAGAGCCACAATATTAGCATTGTGGTTAATGACACTTTGCAAATCCAAAACAGATGCCTGAAAACAGCACATAGCCCTTCATTTCAATATTTTATATAACACATTTGTACAAAGAGTTCAGAAGAATTTCAAGAAATTAATTTTTTTTAATTGCTAAAGTATAACTTTAAGTAACATTTGGTTTTATGTCAAGCAAAACAAACGAAAAACAAAAACATAAAAGTATGAAATTAAATAGCTCATATCCAGAGACATGAGCCACGAGTGATAATAAGTTCAGACTTGAAGTCTCTAGACATTTAGTTAACCTTTACATTCACAACCAGTCAATATGACTGATGGAAAAAAGTACTGCTCTGCACAAAAGAAAAAAAAAAAAGAAATCTAATTAACATTCCTACAAATTCACAGTAAGTGACAGTAGGTCAGTATATACAGAATGTAATGTTTTATCAGTTTTTATTAGCAACTCTTTCATTATTAGTTTATTTCTAGGTTAAAATAATCACATTCTGTTGTATTAAGTGACAAGAAACTCCATATATTTAGATTTTGGACCTTTTAGTTAGAAAAGAAGAAATAATCAGGAAGGTTCAGCATTAATAAATAATCGGCATTTTTCACCATTTTCTGAAATCATCCTGTCGAGGAAATAATTAGTGGATAAATCAGTGAAAGTGGAAAAAGATCTTTAAAAATAAAAATGTTGTTAAAAACACCTGTTAAAAGCAACTGTTAGTTAAAACTGTTAGTTAAAGTTAAAAACAACTGGACAACTCCGGTACCATAACAAATTACTTTTTGACTTAGTTTCTAATATGAAGTCACTTTTTCTGCTTAGGTTTTTTAGAAGTACTACACATAAAACTGTCATATTTAAATTCTTACTGAAGGATTTTTTTTCTAAAGAAGCCACATGCCTGCTGCAGCCTCCTTTGTGTTGTGCGTCTTTTGCTGTACTCACCTTGTGTGGGCTGCAGAGAGGTGATGCTGGTGGTCAGAGAGGCTAAAACCAGACTAAACCCCAAAACCTAAAATCAACCTAAAGTCTGAAGCCAACCTCCGAACCTGAGGCCAACCTGCCCACAACCCCAAACCAAAACCTCTCTCACCTGTATGACAGAGCAACAAACAACCAATCAGGGAGCAGGTTAAAGGGCCGGGGGGCAGAGATTAAGCAAGGGGAATGGTGGGGGTGGCGATCAGGTGTTTGTATTTCATAGAGAAATAAAAGGAGAGAGTGGGAAAGAGAAGAAATGAGAGAAGGAAAGCGCTCCAGGATGTGGGTTTACGTTAGTCTGCCATCATGGAAGTGGCTTTCTGGATGCAAATTGAGGTTTTGACCAAATTGTGGTCAAGGTGTATGTGTGGCCTGTTGACCTTAGAGTGTGAGAGTGTGTGTGTGTGTGTGTGTGTGTGTGTGTGTGTGTGTGTGTGTGTGAGAGAGAGAGAAACACAGACATACACAGACACATTTACTGGCTGCATGTTTATTTGGAAAGTAACCAAAACTTCAGCTCTGCCTTGTTTTTAGACAATAAATCATGTTTTTGTTTAGTTTAGTAACAGTTAATAGTTAAAAATTTTAAAACTTTAATACCGTACAGATTAAGAACTGCTTTTCATCTTATGAAGATTCCTTTACTTATGTAAAATGTTTATAAACAAGCAGTCACACCAGATTTTTAACAAATCTGAGCTGAACTGAATCTCACTACCAACTTAAAGTATCTGCTAATTTTTCTCCTGCTATGTTTCAGTTAGTACCAAAACAAGTTTTAATATCCAGCTACATTTAATTTGGATGCAATTAAAGGTATTTAAAGTAATGTGTGAGACGCATCCTTTAAAGGACTAAAGTCATCTGAGACAGCACGTTTTACAGTACCTGTAAAAAAGCAAGTATGCCCCACTTTTAGCAGCAATAACTTGATTTAATTGATTTCTGTATGACTTCCTCCGTCTGTCATATTCTTCACAGCATTTCACTTGAGTTGAGGTCTGATCCATTACAGCAGTTTGATTCTCGTCTCTTTCAGCCATTGTGCTGTAGTTTTGCTGCTGTGCTTGGAATCATTGTCCTGTTGCATGACCCAGTTTCAGTCGGGTTTTAGCCATCTGACATGACCTTACACTTAACCCCAGAATACTTTGAAATAGTTCACAGTCAACTCAATGGCTGCAAGGTGCCCAGGTACCCCCGTACTTGATTTGTTTGGCTTTCTCCAAACGTGGTGCTGTGCGTCATTGCCAAACATCTTCACTTTGGTCTTGTCTGTCCAAACGGGATTGTTCCAGTCTTGTGGTTTGACTGCCATGTTCTCTTTTTTGAGAGGGGGCTTTCTCCTGGTAACCCTTCCAAACAAGCCAGTCTGTTTCTAATTATTTGCAAGTGTTAGTGGTTTATGGTGAGAACAAAAATGAAGGTATTGTCCTGTAATGACAGTGTTGAATGTGAGCATCTTTGTATGCCTCTTTAAATTACTAATAAAATATCTCACCATTCACAGGTTTTAGCTGTTGTATAGTTAGTAACGATGTGTTATTCATAATTTATTTATTTTGGGTAAATTTCTGTGTTTTTATAAGGCATTTCTTTCTTGTTTGGTAAATAAAGTACTTTGCTTCTTGTCCAACTGGAAGAGGCTTCAGCCTCCCTGAAACCTTTGGTGAATAAATGGTTTTTAAAAAGGGATGGATGATAGAATAAATATAATTGCTGTAAAACTATTCTTACAGGTGTTATAATGTACAAAATATATTCTTAGAATATATAAGTATGTTTCTCTGCAGGAAATCCACTCTTTAAAAAAATCCATACCATATATTTAGCTTTTTTGTTACTTATTATGATTAATTATGTAATAGATTTACCTTTTAAATAACAGTGTATAAATACAGTAATTTTAATTTTGTGAAGGTGGTAAGAGGCAGGCTTCATTAATGGAAAATGATAGAAGTAACCCGTTAGAAGTGATCTTTCAGAGCAGCAGTTTAAAATGAGTGCTGTTAGCACAACCGGCGCTATGTTTAAGAAACGTTAATGAGTTATGACTTTAGACTTTAACAATTAGCAGCTCTTTAGCACGTGTCATTGTAATTAGATTCGACTGACGCACTGGAAGCTCTGCAAGGCTCTGCACAACTATGATTATAGCTGTGTTTGATTTTCAGGTTTGCTCTGGGAGACGCTCGCAGGCCTTTGCAAGAGACTGCAGCGCTGGTGGAGGATATTGTACACACACAACTCATTACTATGGTAACATACAACATAACAAATATAACGCTGTAACAGTTATTTGTTCAAACTTCAAGATCAAAGCCTAAATCACCTGAAGAGTTAATTACAGGCTGAACAATAGTAAAGCACATCAGACAAATAAAACCCTTACATGTATAACTGATGTGGCTGTAAAAATCCACGATTCTGTCTCATTTCGGAGCCTCTGAATAGCAAAAAAACCCTAAATGTAATTATATTAAAGCATAAGTGCAATTCATTTCTGACTTTACTGAAGCAATTGGTTTATTTCTCAGCTGCATCAGGCCTGCGAGGGAGCGGCTCTGCGTGGCTCGAGGGTTATTTCACCTGAGGACATCTTATTCCTGATGAGGCGAGACAAGGTACAAAATGCACACGTGAATAAAAAAAACATTAAATATTCAAAACTGTATGTCCATGAATCTTTTCTTCCTTTATTGTTTTTTAAGGTTTGAAATAACTAATTCCTCTCCCCTTTTTCTGTTCTTTATCTTCATGCCTCAAAATCTACTGACCAGAGGAAGTTGGCGAGATTATTAAAATATCTCCAGTTTAGAGATTATAAATCCAAAATACTCAAGACTCTTGAGGATGAAGACACACAGGCAGAATCAGGTATACACAGAGCCTCACACACACACAGTGACCTTTTAAATGTTATTATAAAACCCCTGTGACCCTGTTTTGGAGTGGAAATCAATGCGTGGGCTCAAGAGCACTTCTGAGTCATTCAGCTTGTTGCTGCATCCACAAATAGAATTTAAAACTCTTGAAAAGAGCATTTAAATAGTTTAAATAAGAAAAAACTTGTTTGTTTTTTTCCTTGGCTCACACTTCTTTCAGATGGACTGATGCAGAATTGTGCTGTGGCCTGATTGGTTAAAATTTAAAGCTCATTATGAATGTGGTCGCTCTCCTCTTACACAGGCTGAGTGATATATGTGATGGTTTGGCTTCAC